GCAACAAAACCAATCAAACTGATCAATAACAAAAAAGCCATAAAGACACAAAAAGTTACATTCATGTTATCCTGCTGCAGAGTATAACTATTACTTAACAACAAATAACATGCAAAATCTTACCCATTTATTAATAAAGGAGATGAAACCGTATCCTTTAGATTTGCCTGTGGCCAGATCCTTCACCACACGGGCGTCACTGCACCGAACACATGAAATCAGTAAGAATCCGAATGTTTGGACAATCCAGCTCAGATGAGGTTTAAATAGCACTTGAATTACACAATATTCCACTTACGATATCTTTCCAAACGGAGCAAAGGCTGCTCTGACATCATCAGTTGAGATTTCTGGGCTCAGGTCACCAACAAAGACGTGGAAATGATCTACAATAATGGTTTGAGGGGAAACAGTTAGATATTTCATAAACTATGAAGCAAAAGAGAAAAACTATTCATGCTTTACAGTTTGACCACACAGGCTCTTATATACGCCAATATAACACCACGTGCATCCACTAGCAACACTGAAGAGGACACTTACTGCTTGTGTCTTTCTTTTGACTGCCTGGCATTGAGGCCCAGTTAACCTTCATATCCTAAGAGAGAAAGCAGAGCAGAGACAAGCAGCAGCATAAATCATCTTCATCTTACTTAGCCGCATAATATGGCGAGCCTCCAAACGCAGAAGAAATAAGCTGACAACAAAAAAACCCTGGTGATCATTCAGGTTAAAAGAAAAAGGGAACATTTAAAAAAAAAAAACCTGGAATTATTTTCTACATAGGAAAAGAGTCTAAATAGCAGACTTACAAAGAAGTGACATTATCAACTTGTATTACTCCTCAAATGGTCCTTCAATACCTGTTGAGGATAAAATATTTGCACTGAATATATTTTTCCAAGGCTTTGCTAAATTTGAAGGCCTGGTACAGGTGTAGACGATGATAAAGCAAGGCTAGATGTTGACGTAAATGGAGGGGGGGTCAAAAATAAAAATGGTCAGCCTGTACCCAAAAGATGACTTAAATAAAAATTAGGGCTGCACGATAAATATCGTGCGATATTTATCGTGCAGCCCTAATGAAAATGTTCATATGCTTTGTGGAGTTTGAAATATAACAAAGTAATTAGGCACTCCAATGGACCAGTAAAGGATTCTGGTGTGTTGAAAGGACTTTCTGGATAAATATTTTGCTTATTTGATTACGATTCAAACAACTGTAGTATTCTCAGCTATATTTAAATATTACCATGTTAAAGCCATAAGCTAACGGTATGAAAATGTGCAATAAACACGTCTATTTTTGACTTGTTTACTGTGCATTGTCATATTGTGGCTTTGTACATTTTTTTCCATTTGTAAAAGTGGCAATATGCCACAAAGATAAAACAAAAAAAAAGGCTTAAACACCATAAATTAAGTAAATCCTTGGGCAATCTATTTTGACTTGTATGTTGTAAATAGTTGATGAGATGAAGGGACTTGAAAGATTCGATGCACAGGTTAAAAGCAACTTACCTGTAAACACACTAGAAATGACTGCTAACTAAAGATATTCAGTGTGTCATCTTAGATTATACCTCTGACAAGACATTTAAGGGGTGTAACTTCATTTCAAACCATATCCAATCTACTTTTGAGGGTGTGTTTGCAATATTTTACCTTTCCTAAGATCTTCCTGCCGTTCATGGCAGCCAAAGCTGCAGCAGCATGTCTGTTCTCAAAGAACTCCACAAAGCAGTATGGGTCATTTCCAGCCGTCTGAAAAACACAAAACGATCTGGGTCAACCACTGATCTTGGTAAGTTACAGGTGTCCAGAGTTCCCAGATTTTTTTGATCAATGAATTTTTCCATGATCTTTTAAAAGGCATCAGTTAGTAGTAGACAATTTTTTTAAAGAATCATTTTGGACCATTTTGTTAACTGATCAAAAAGAATCAACTCGATGACAATTTGCTCAAACTGCCCATTCCCACTTAGAAGGAAATTGTATTCTACACAAAAGCAATAACAGCTAGAAATGTGTATTAACTACAGAAATTTCCATGACGTTTGAGGTTCTACCAACTTCTATGACTTTTCCAGGCCTGAAAAAAAAATTATTTCTCGGTTTTCAGATGTTTTTCAACTCACATCAAATATCATTTTACAACTCTTGCAGGGGCCGATCTGGGAGAACACTTGCAGGATGAGGGCCTCCGTAACGTCCCTGGAGAGGTTCCCGACATACCTAAAAACAGAAGAGCACAGCAAAATGAGAAACACGGTCAATGCGTCGCGTTTTTCCTTCTCTCACGCTAGCAGCACATTCCGCGAGGTTTCATTTCTGCCACGTTTTCAGCGCACGAGAGCCAACAACTAACATGATCCAAAAGCTCCATTTATAAGAGAAACCACGCATAGTAAACAGACTGTCCGTCTGATTCACGATTTTACACTAGAGGAAAGAGTGAAAAGGGCCACGTGGGGGATATAATAACATTTAAGCGCTTTTTGGTAGTTAGCTAATTCGGTAACGGAAACCTAGCGCTACAAACGGAACCCGTGTGCTGGCAAAAGCCTGTTCTGCGCCGTAATGTGGACATATTAGTTCATCCATTTGGACATAACCGGATAAATTAAAATAAGGTTAAGGGAAACAGTGGATTCTTCACCGCTACCTCTGCTAGGCTCGGTTCCGCTGCCCCAGTTTGTTGTTTGTCTAGCCGGCTTGTGCTGTCGGGATTGAAAGCATGGACGCCCATATCACACTTCATATATAACACAAAGAGTAATTAACGGAGTTATACCCTTGAGTTGATTATCTTCGGTCGGCGTGCTGCGCTTGCGACCTGTGCGCCGTTTTACTAAACGTGTTTAAACACGAGCTTGGCTTCGTAAAGTGGCCGACTAAACTACAGCAGCACTTACAATGTCCTGGGCTGGTCCTCGTCCATCATCATCGTGCTGGTGGGAAATGGTTGACGCTTTGATTAAAAAAACTGCTCTGTTTTTAACGTCGAGTGGATAAAGCTTCTATGATTTTAACTTGTTAGTTAACGCGAATTTACTGGAATAACTTCCTCTGACGTTACTCGTGAAACGTCATCAAACGACGTTGCGAGCGCTCTTCTTTAGCTGCTGCTGTTCCTGGAGAAAGAGAACGATTACTGCCCCCTATCAGCTCATTCGCTGACCCTGGTGACAGCAAGTTCGACTCATTTCGGCGAATCGGTTCTTTCGATTCAGTGATTCTTTTACGTTATGACTTGTTGACATGTTAACTCAGGGGTGCCCAAACTCGGTCCTGGAGGGCCGGTGTCCTGCAGAGTTTAGCTCCAACTTGCCTCAACACACCTGCCTTCAAGTTTCTAGTATGTCTAGTAAGAGCTTGATTAGCTGGTTCAGGTGTGTCTAATTGGGGTTGGAGCTAAACTCTTCAGGACACCGGCCCTCCAGGACCGAGTTTGGGCACCCCTGTGTTAACTGCTCTAAACGTTTCAATCAAGCCAAATGTAGATCGAGTAAACTTTATTTCTAAGGGCATTCATTATTATTTCACATGTCCCAGTTTAGTTTGCTGCAGGCATGGTTCTTCTTACAAAAATGAAGTCATTTAGAAAACCAGTTAAATGTTCAAATTTAATTTGAATCTAAAACTACTAAATCTGATACTGATACAACTCATATACAGTTCTTGGTGTTCAGTCTGATTTGGAAACGAACTGTTCAATCAATAAAGCCATTCTGTGTAAAATAGAGAAGGGTAATAGATTTTGGTAACCTGTTATGGTTGCAAAAAAGCAAAATTCTTTCTAGAATATAAAGTAAGAGGAGGCTATCTTCAATTTGGGTAACATGAAAGTGGGCTGCACTTTTTTGTTTGTGAAATACAGAGGGGCAACGGATTTCGGTATTGTTATACTGCCTTATCGGATTCTGTGTATCTCTGTGTCTGTTCACATAAAAGCTAATTGTTTTCTAGAATATAAAAGAGGAAGCTAGACATCACCAGAGAATTTGAGTAACATTAAAGTAATTAAACCACGCTTTCTGTGTGAAATACAGAGGGGCAATGGATTTTGGTAACATGTTTTACTGGCTTGTCGTATTCTGATTATCTCTGGGTCTATTCACATAAACAAATTGCTTTCTAGAATATAAAATAGAGGAGGCTAGACATCACCAGAGTTAATTTTGGCAACATGAAAGTGGGCTGCACTTTTTTTGTGTAAAATGCAGAGGGGTAACTTATTTTGGTAGCATGTTATGCTGCTTTATCGGATTCTGTGTATCTGTTCACATAAAAGCAAATTGTTTTCTAGAATACAAAATAGAGGAGGCTAGACATCACCAGAGTTAATCCGGGTAACATTAACGTAAGCCACACACACTTTCAGTGTGAAATACAGAGGGGCAACAGATTTCAGTTACCAGTTGTACTTGTCAGATTCTGTTCATCTCTGATTCTATTCACATAAAAACAAATTGCTTTCTAGAATATAAAATAGAGGAGGCTAGACAACACCAGAGTGAATTTGGGTAACATTAAAGCCATTCTGTGTAAAATAGAGTAGGGTAACAGATTTCGGTAGGCTAACATTTTTACGCAGCCATGTGGGATTCAGTTAACCTGTTCACATTCAGGGGTCATGCAGTTGCATAAATTTAGCCACTATGTTAGGACAAACTAGTCTAAAAAAAAATAGCAGTTAGACAACTGGTAATGAGTCTCATTTTTAAGATTCAAGTTAAAAAGAAATAATTTTTTTTTGTTGTTTAATAATAAAATGTGAGAGGGTAACATCATGCAGCTCTGTCACTGTATAGTCATGCACTTATGTGATCACAACTAAATCTAGAATGCATGTCAACATCAGAAGCTAGATTATCGCACTGATATCTGATCGTGTCTACTAATGATTTGGTGGTAGCATATTATTTCACCATGCAAAAAATAAATTGCACACTATTGGCCACATCTGAAGCAAATTTAAGTAAAAACTGAATGTTGGCCCAATCACAGGAACGTAGACACCGGTTGAGAGGCGTGTTCATTCAGATCCTCTGATGCTGCTCTGTAGTGAAGATGGCGGAGAGAGACGGCCATCTGAAACCCTTAAACGGAAAAATCCTTTAATTGCATGCGGTCTTCAGTAGAGCATTTGTGTAGTGGGTGAGTAAAAAAGAGAACTGGGAAACTGCTCTGATTTTTACTCCTTTCTACATTTAGTTGGTTCACGCATGGTTCAGTTGAAAAGGTTTGGTTGCTGCACACGGCTCTTTATTACGGCTAACACGGGCGAGCTAATCGAGGCATGGATCAATTTTTGCTAAACAAACACGAAAGCGCGCACGTAATTGTTTAAAAAACAGCTGCCTGTGAGATACAAAGTTGCCGTTTTTAATATCTGCGTGATGAAATGTAACGTTAACCACATTGCCTTCCGGTTCTCTTAGCCGACCAATTAGCAAAGGCCTTTAGGGCTTATGGTTCGTTATAATACACTACAAATACAGTTTTTTTTGTTTTTTTTGCCGACCTATTTATTTAGCAATTTATTTAACACCCAATTTGAATCTCGACATGCAAACGAACAATTGTGAATCAATTGTGTTACTGCTTTCTGGGGCATAGGCCTACACGTTGTGAGTTAAACATTTTGGGAAATAAAAGGAGCATCTGAGAAGTTTTACCATGTAGATCCAGTTCTGTTGTGCTCTTTGAATGCCTCCTTGATTTTCCCTTTTCTCTTTCTTTCAGCACTGGCAGAAGATCTGGCCTCCCAGGATGGATAGTGCTTAGATGTGGGCAACGTTTAAGCTGAATGCATTGTGATTTCCAATAATTGAGACAGTGATTTCTAAAAAGCTGTCTACATTAATGAAAAGAACAATGTAGTTAGCTTATCATATTCAACCATGTACATGAATATTGTTAAATAGGTGTCTACAGCTGTGTAATGTATTCGTGCATGTATTAGGGGCTGGATTTTTAGCTAAATTAGGCAGATCCCTTCCCACTTTCATTCTCGTGTAGTTTTTAATAGCTTTTTTTTAAAGAAATTAAACATGGATGTGAATGGGATTTTACCTCCCCTCCCATTGGAGCCACCAGATGCAGTATTGGCGGGGAATGATTACAGTAAAGCACCTCCACCACCTCCCCTGCCAACGTCCAGTGACGCAGAGGAAATGGACGTTAGCTCTGGTGGTGATGGACACCAACACACCACAGCAGTGGACAGGGATGAACAGCTCCTCTTCAACAAACACACATTGTCCGTTAGCAGTCACCCATCAGGTAGCCCTGACCCCATGGCCACGTGCCCTAGAACCGCTCGCCATGCTCCCCCAGTTACCAAGTTCTTACCTGATCTCAAACTCCTCAGAGATGTAAAGATCAGCGTCAGTTTCTCAGACAGCAGTAAGAGCAAAGACAGGAAGGTGTACACTGGTTTGGGGCAGGTTAGCGATGAAGAGCAGAGCCTAGAAGGACTGAATGGTGAATTGCATGATTCTTTAGAGCAGAGAAGTGTGCCGGGCAGCTCGACCATGACCACTGGTTCCTTAGGGTTAGTTAGAAACAGTGAAGAGCTGGAGACAGAGCAGGAGAACAAGGTTGAGTTTGCCGTGTTGGATGACCTGGAAGATTTCAGTGAGAACTTTCTGGAAGCGGAATATGGAGAGCCGAGTGGTTTCAGGTCTCAGATGATAGTTCAGCAGGAGCAAGCGCACGAGGAGGACCAGAATTACTCTTATGAGGTAAAATGCATGGTCTTATTATGCTTCCTCTGATTTTGGCAGTTTTATTTGTTAAAATTGAAACATTACATTGGCTAATTAAAGATAATATTATTGCCGTCTAAACCTGTAAATGCCAAATCAATCAAAACATCTCCTGAAATGTGCATCTACCACAATGCATGTCTTTTATTCATCAGGAAGGATCCTGGACTGTAACAAGGTGGTCCATTTGAAAAAGATTTGAATTACAGCTCACAAAATGGGCTTGATTCAAATCTTGATGTACGTTTAGTTGATGGCATGTCAGTGGCTGCCAATTACTAACCCACCTATTCTTCCAGGAGGACTTTGACAATGATGTAGATGCCCTGCTGGAGGAAGGCATGCCCATGCCCAAGAAGAGGCGTCTGGCTGGAGACTGTGATCACCATTCAGATGAGGAGGCCGGAGTTCAGCCCATGATGACCAAAATTAAGACTGTTCTTAAGAGTGAGCCTCAGAAACTCTTGGTTAACTCATAGAAAGTTTGATTGGAAGTTCTAAACACTTTTGCTACACTGTTAAAACTTTTAAAGATTATTAAAATAGATTATAGATTATTATTAGAATGGAAGATTATTACTTAACTATGTGAAGATATGCGTTTTCAAACCCCAAGGTTATTAGAGTTTTCTGTGGGTTTCACTGTGATTTATTTTTTAATGGGTTCTATTATGCTATTTCACTTTTTCAACTTTAGTTCCCTTTCAGTAGGTCACTCTCGACGTCACGTCAGATGACCGACGAATTGGGATCTCGCTTATAGAGACCAATCTACTTCGAGTGTAAACTAAATGAGCCAATGCACATTGGCATGCGAT